AAAGCCTCTGCAAATGGTCCCACTGCAAGCCTAAATGGCCATCCGCATCCGTCTCCACCTGGGTCGCCCATGGCTGTATGGTCCTAGTCAGGCCCCAAACCGCCAGATAAACAAGTTCCTAAATCTAATTTGACTTATCTGACTGCTACTTTAAGCTTTGTTAACATTTCGTGCATTCGCTGGCGCTAACCACTTGCATCGGCGTCGCCCTCATCATTGTGCATTGCGTTGCATTTTCCGTATAAAGATTATAAACTTCACTTTACTATATGCTCAGCAAAATTGCATGGGAAATGGGCTCATCTGGACGCAGTTTGCATGTCACGCTTTTTGCTTGCGCAAGGAATCTGTGCGCGCGCCGCGAGCACCAGGATAAACTACAGTAAAATGTCTTTTGCTTCGTGCAAAAATATGCTGGTATGTGTGCCCGGAAAGCTGTGCCGGACGGTCGACCGTCCGGCGGACCGTCCGCCAAATTCAAAAAACATTAGGATTGGGAAATGGATTCATTTTTGTTCGGAGGTTGTTGTGGAACTACTTTTGTTCCAGAAGAACAGTTTTCTTTTGACGAAAATGAAAGAAAAACAAGGTAACAGGAAATTAAACGTTGTTAAAACTTTTGCTACGGAGAATGTCTTCCCAGAGGTGTCGTCGCAGCCTACAGGCAAAAAGCTCACATACAATCATGTGAGGAAAATTGAACTACTTTCACCCTCTCTTCACGTCCCTTCAGCCGCCGTAGCCGCACTGCGTTGCTGCACATTTACAATATGTGTACACATTACACGATGCTACTAAGACCGCGGAAAGTGCAAGAAATTACAAATATATATTTTTTAATTGCCAAAGAAGTTGATTACGTATCCTAAATTCAAGTCTCAACCCAGAGGAAGTTCTCTTGCTCCCTCGAACAACGCGCATACAAACCAAATAGGTTGGTAACGTTATAACTGTATCAAATACATATTTAAGTATATCAAAAATAATGTCCAGGGTAAGCCGCGGCTATCGCGCCGAGCTTTTCCTTTCGGCCAAATAAAAACTTCTTCTTCCGTGTCTGAAATGTACGACATGGTCGTATGCATGCGAAGCTCACCAGCACCTACATCAACCCAGCTCATATGCCACCCCTCCTCACAAAAATATGAATTCCTCTCCTCTTCGTCCCTCTCCATACCTTTCCCAGGGCGAAGCATTTTCCTCTTCCCCCCTACCTCTCCGCTTCTCCCCCTCCCCTTCTCTCTCTTCTCAAACCCCCTCACACACACACACACACACACACACACACACACGAGTGCCACACACCACAACTCTCCTCGCCTCCCACTCCTGTCCTCGAAATTCAAAGTTTCAAACACACCTCTCCAGCTTCTCCTCCCCTTGCCGCCTCTTCCCTCACAAGCCCCCCTCCTCCCCCTCCTCCTCACTCCCTCCCCTCCGCAGTAGGTGAGCTGCCATACCGAAGAACGGCACGAAGCGGTACCTGCAGCGGCATTGCAAGGTGGGGTGGGGTGGGGTGGTAGTGGTGGTGGTGGTGAGGAGGAGAGGGTTTGGGGGATGTACAAATACATTGAGCAATTGGAAAATCCTCCTGTGCCACACCGGCACCGACACAGAAACAGAAACAGTTTTTTGTTAAACGGTCTTGATCTCGACGACCGACCGACTGACCGACCTGCTCCACTGACACTTGCTATCCCTATATGCGGTTGACGAATAGGTTACGATCCGCCACGATCCGCTGGTGTACAGAAAAACGGAACCTCATCTGCCTGCATGTTCCTTGCTGCTGCCCCCCTTGAGGAGGCCGCCGCTCTGCCAGAACGCTGCTCAGTGCCGGCCGTCGTACCCCTCGCGTGGTCTGACCGCGGTGTGCGCGGAATGCACGAGGCTAACCAGCCGTGTGTGCATCCGCGCCCCCCCCCGCTGTGTTTCGGCCCTGGGCCCCCCGAGGCTTTTGAGCCCACTGTGTAATCCACGTCATACATACATACGCACATATACATATACACATACATACATACATACCCCTATCCCTACCCCACAGCCTCCCGTACCTTGCGGGTGTGTTCTGCATCAGTACGGCCTGCCAAACGCAGTACAGCCCCGAGTCAACCAGGAAGGCATAAAACACCTGCGGGGGTGACATACCCCCCGGGGGGCCCCCCGGGTGGCGGGTGGCGGGGGGGTGGGGGAGGCGGTACAGGGTCAGGTTCGGAGGCCTTATCTATCCGGTGGTGGGTGGCTTACAAGGAAAGGAGTGCCGTAAGGTTGCGGGTTTGGGCACCGTGCACACATTCAAACACACACGGACACACATACAAACACACGCACACTCTCACTGCAAATGTCACTCACCCTGTTGGAATTCATCGTTTCAATAAAGTACGACATCCGCTCCGCCAGACCGCCGTACTCCGGTCGCGCCGCCAGCGCCCAGCCGATTGAGGTAAGGCCCACAAGCAGTCCGGTGGCTCCGAAGACCGGCGACCAGGGCGGCAGGGGGGAGTTGGGGGGTGGAGGCGGGGGGGGCACCTGCGGCTGCTGCCGCTGTGGCGCCGTCGTGCTGCTGCCGCTGCTGCTACTGCCGCTGCCGGAGGTAGGCGTTACGGGCTCAGGTGCGGCGCGTTGTGCCAGATAGGGGATGTAGAACACGTTGGTTAGGAACTGTGTGTGTGTGTGTTTTGGAGTGGGGTGGGGGGATGGGGTGAGGGGGAAAAGGTGTTGTGTTTAGGTGGTTTGGGAAAGTGTGGGTGTGGAGTTAGGTGTACGGGAGAACACACTCATCACACCGTACAAAGGTACGGACAAATGGTACATACGGTGTAGAATCACACACACCATGTAATTCGACGTCAGACACAACTGGAACCGTGGATCCGAGGGAGTACGACAAAGCAGACGTGCAGAAACACAGTCCCCACGGCATCTTCTTCTCGCGAGAGGCCCTCCCCCCCTCGAACTCCGTCACTAGCCATCTCCGTCGTCGTGCTTCGTTTGAGACTCCCTTCACGGTTGGCTCAACGACTTTTTGCGGTTGGTAACGGCAAATATCTTCCGACATCATCGCAGCCTCAACCCCGGGGTAGTATACCGTGTCGTCTAGCAGAAAACACACAGCCGTTACCCCCCCATAATGTGTAACCCCCCCGGCTGGCACATACAGCGCCTTGTCGGGTAAGTAACGACTCCGGCTCCCCCCTTCCCCCCACCCCTCCGAAACCACACGAAACCACCACAAATCCATGCACGTGCTTGTCTTGGGTTTCTTAAGAGTCACGGGTTATTGGGGTTTGATTCGGTTCCCCCCCTTCCCCCTCCCCCAAAACCCCGTTCCTCCCCCACCCGGCAAAACACACATCTCACCATGATGCCGGTCCACCAGGCCACAATCCCCCCGCTTCCCCCCAGCTTTCGGCTGCGACCATCCGACAGCATGTACGGCAGTGCCATGAGGGACCAGGCCGCCACAAAATTGAACAGCGCCTCCGAAACCGGGTGGCAAGCTACAGAAGGTACGGGAGCCCAGCCCAACGCGTCCAGGCCGATGTTGATGTAGAAGAAGTTTAGTGATTCGTACAGCACCTCCTGGAGCACCTGTGTCGTACAGTGTCGTATTAAGGCACAAAGAGAGGGTGGGCGGATCAATTAGTTGGAGCGCGAGGAGGAAGAAGGGGGGTATTAAAGACATAAGCTAGAATGTTTGTATACACACCTAAGTTGAGGCGCCGTTGATCCGCTAGATTTGGTTGGATGCTGGTGGTGAGTTGCTGAACCCAACGAATACATTCCGAAGTCGGATGGGGTGAATGGGTTAGGGCGCCCCTCTCGCAGGGGAGAGCAGGGAATTGCCTCGGGAAGGAGGTCGCTGGGGAAGCTTAACCACCCCGTAACAACATACATACATACCTAAGTAGTATTCTACATGTGCATGCATATGTATGTATATACATACATACATACATACATACATACATACATACATACATACATACATACATACATACACGGACAAAGGAGTCCAACCCAATTGCGCAGAGTCAGACTTCCAAGTCCTCACGTATCCCGATATACACACACCGTACACACCGTTCGTACATACCTCAGGTGGAGTGTTGTAGGCAGGTGATCCCGGGGCTCCAGTGCCCAACATGATGTACGCCGTGTAACCTATACACACATACGGGGGAAGGGGGGTGGGGGAAAAGACGAACCACGTGAACGAGTGAAGCTGCTGCCAGGGCAAGAGTGTACGAGAAGTAGAACTGACCGGGTGGGAAAGGGAGGGAAGATGAAAAGGGGGGGTTGGCTCGGAGGAAGGGGGGAGAGGGGGATCGAAAACCCACACACAAGCAAGATATTGCCTTCTGGAGGAGGGGCGGAGGGGGAGAGGGTCCGAACGAACGAACGAACACACGCAACCCCCCTCCACCCATACATACACACACACGTACCCAGGTAAAAGGCCCACACAGCCGCTGACGCCAGAGGCAGCCGCTTGAGGGTGGAGGGGTGGGCGGCGGGACCCAGTTGCCGTACCACGGGGGTCAGGGCCGCAAGCAGCTGGGGTGGGTGGTTGGGGATGGGGTTGAGGGGGGGAGGGGAAGTATAAACGCGGGAGAAGGGGCATGGAGGCGTGGAGGGGGGAGAGGAGAGGATTTCGTGAATGTGTATTTTGTTTTCTAACGTAGGCAGTTAGGCAGTTAAAGTGGTGGCCGGCTGGCTGGAGCCCCGCCCCGCCCCCCTAGAACCCCCTCCCACCTTCAGTGCCGTACTCCCCGGCTTGGCCGCACTCTCCACCAAATCCCGTGCGGTGGTTATCTGCCCCCGGGGGTTGAGGGTGTAGAAGGAACAGCCCCGGGAGAACGGAAACACAACACCGTCACCGCACTCCACGTGCCTGTGTGGGTGGGTGGGGGGAAAGGATGGTGTGCGGGTTTTACCCCTCATGCGTGTTCGTGTTCATGTTCGTGTGTCATGGTGAGGTTTAGGTGGGTGGTAGGGTTGCAGAGCAGGGGGAGGAAAGGAGGCGTGCAGGGGCGGGGGGGGGATTAGGGGGGCGGGGGGGGGCCAGCAATATCACGGAGGGAAAACCCCGTGCCGACCACCGTGCCGTCCCGTCCCGTCCCGCCCTGGAAAGTCGCAAGTGGTGGTGCTGCTGCTGAGGGCGCCCAAAGAGCCTCAGAGCCCCCCCCCGGGGGAGACGCAGCTGCCGCTCTCCCTTGGTGAACTGGATTGACTTGAACGATTCGCTGCCGTTTTGGCTGCCCTCTTAAGAGGCCGTGTGTGTGTGTGTGTATGTATACCGTAGAGCCGTCCCTAGCGCGTTGGGTTGATGTCCCCGGCGTTGTGTGGGCGTGGGTGTGGGTGTTTTACATGGTTGGGGGTGCGTGACCCCATACTCGAGTATAACTACCCAAACTTTAGCCGCCGTTGGCCCAAGAGGGCACACACACACGCCCCTGCTCGCTCCCCCCCCCAGTCCCCCCCCAGTCGTACCAGGTAATGCCCACAGCCCGGGGGTCACCATCTGTGACGTCCTCGATTACGAACTGCAGGTCGGCCGGGACTGTACGGCGAACCTGTGGGACGTACGGGAACGTACGGGAGTGTACGAAGCGACAAGATGGGTAAAAAGTATGTCCGGCGGTTAATGGGGTTGGTGCACGGCGAACACCCAGCGCTATCGCTGCGCCTCGATATGAGAGGGGGGAGAGATAGGGGGGAATGTAATACGGCATGACTCAACACCCGAAAACATTTCTGCATCGTTACACGTGCTTGACGATATCATAAGCAATGTACGACATCCATACTCCGGTCGGTCCCATGGTTGGCAGCTGCCAAATCCGCAGACGCTGACTACGCTGAGGGGGGTTTGATGGGGTGGTTGGTGGACACGTCACCTTTTTGAGGTAGTTGAGAACCTCATCTCGGCCAACGAACGGGTCCTCGTAAATCATGTCGTGGTACGACACATCAGGAGCCAGCAGGCTAGCAATGGTGTCCAGATCCCCTGCGAGGAAAGGTTAGGCGTATGTATGTATGTATGTATGTATGTATGTATGTATGTATGTATGTATGTATGTATGTATGTATGTATGTATGTATGTCGATGCGTGGACGTGCTTTGGGGTTGGGAGCATCATCATACCGGGGGGAGAGGGGACAAGAACTCTTCAGTCAAACTATTCCAGTCAAACTCAGCCTCCAAGTCCCCAGATGAAATACGAACACCGGCTTTCAGTACGAGCACCCTTGGTGCCGTACACAACGCCACGAGGAAGGTTTCCCGGGGTACACGCGATACCGGCCACGGGCAATGTCGTAGTCAAGCTTCAGATGGATAAGTTCATGTCAACGCGCAACCAACTACAACCGCTCAGCCTAGCTCCAAATCCTACCGGAATTGTATGCTTCATAGTACCGGACAATGACGTCTTTGCCGGTGAGGCCGTTGACGGTGCCTTCTGCTTGTGGTGGTACGGCCTGCCCACAGAAAGGGAAAAGAGACGGCAACCACAGATGAGCTAACTTCCAAAGTTTGAAAGTTTCCTTTCTGAAGGCTCTATTATGAGGTCAGTATGTTGTCGCTATTAAACCCCATGGGCGCACCTCGGCCGTTTTTGCAGCGTAACACGCAATCCGGGCGTAGGTCCACAAACGCGGGCTTTGCTCCTTGGTTCGCGTCCAGCTAGATGAATGCTTGCATTTCACTCGATACAATAATTGCTTATAGGATGCGCATGGGAGCATTTTTTTATTTCCCACACGGAGCACTGATTTCATGCTCATCCTGCCACACGCGCAGATTGATCAAGAGTGCTTGGCGAGCAAAGACACGTGTAAGGCTTGTTGCGAGGCTATGCGTGCACCAATTCCTTATGGGTGCCTCGCTGTAGAGTGGTTAGACCTAACGAAGGACCTCACACGCCAAGCTAGTGCATATATGCAGTTTTGTGTGGGGACGAGAAGCATCATTTATTTAGGTGTAGTCATGCTGAAAAATTATATGCATAAGCGGGAAATTGGTAGTAATGGTTGACAGTTGATTGGTGGTTACAAGAAAGGCAACTGCCAATAAGGGGACAGCAAACAGGATAGGGCGCTGTTTCGGATTAATTTCTGGATATTTGCAAAGCTGATAATTTTGCGCCGAAATTGCTATGCGCATAGAAATGTAAACAAGAACCATGCCGTCGGTCGTCAAATCCGCCTTCGCCGGCGATGTGACGGCTGTTCATTTTGTTCGCTTGGGAACAGAGCACGTCTTCCTACTGGCAGGTAAACTTTTAGGAAGGACTGCTTCAGCATTTTTGTAAAATGCCGTCCAATTCAACGACAATTCCGAGGCTCCAACCTTTCCAAGTTTACTGCCGGTTAAAAAAATTACACGTACCGAACTCCTTACAATTCTCAATCCTCATCCCATCATGGACCCATATGCCCGCCAATTGCACATCTCCCTGCCGTCAATCCCGATGCTTGCAGGCTGCGGACCTCGCCTGCTCATTTACAGCCTACCCAATGGCGACCTTCATGCCGTACATCACATAATTGACGGCGCCCGCATCCACGGGATCATCACGACGGCAGTACCCGCCGACGAAAGCCCCAGCCTATCCCCATGCTGCCCATCAACCACGTGGGTTGTCGTACACGGAGATCGTTGGGTCCATATCCTCCAGCTTCACCTATCCTACCAGAATGCCAACGCCAATGCCGCTGCTGGCTCAACACCAAAACCAACAGCAGCAGCAGCAGCAGCAGCGGCATCTAGGGCGCCTGTGGCCGTGTTGCGTGCCGCCGTGTGTTTTCCCCCCCGACCCTCCTGGGTGCTATCCGCGCACCTGCAGCACGTGGTTGGGTCACTGGCCGCAACACCACCGGCGCATCCGTGTGGCCAAACAGCGGCAGCAGGAACAGGAGCAGCGGCAGGAGCAGGTGTGGGTGAGGAGGGGGAGAGGGGGCCGCCACCAAATCTAAAACAGGATAGTGAATCAATGTCCCCTTCTACCTCCTACCAGCTCCCCCAGCACCCTCCCCCCAGCACGACCCAGCATGCCCTAATTCACACGTGTAAGCATCCGAAGGTTTCTACACGTTGTACGTCATCGGTTTCTGTACGGTGTGTTTGTCTGTGTGCCATGTCCTCACTGCACTGACTCGCGCCGCCTCCCCCCACGATTTCCCCCCCCACACACACCTCCATACCTACCGCATAGATTGCCCGCCCGCGAGCAACCCGCAACCCCACCACTACCCTCCTCGTTCTCCTTCTCCTCCTCCAGCTCACCCCCAGTCCCCGGAGCAGCTGCTGCTGGTGCTCGCCCTCGCCGACAACAGCGCCGAGATCTGGAGCCTCCAATCGCCAGCGACGGGAATCGAACCCGGATGCGAATCCAGATCCGGGTCCAGATCCGTGGTCTTGGGTCCCCTTCTGTCAGGTCGCTGGCTGGTCGCCGCGCGGTGCAGCCAGCGGCTTCAGCTGTTTGGGGCGGCAGTGCTGTCCGTACGGCCCTCCCTGGAGGCGGAGGAGGGAATGAGGCTGTGGATAGCGGCGGGTGCGAAGGGGAGGATGGGGGAGAGGAGGGGAGGGGAGAGGAGGGGAGGGGGAGGAGGGATGCAGGGGGAGTTAACACGAATAGCACTGACGATAGCAGCAGATACCAGCGATGGCTGGAAAACTCTGGATCCGGAAGCCGAGGATACGGACGGATAGTGACCGGGGGGCTGCACGGCGGCCCGGCAAAGCAAGGAGCTGTACTGACTGCCCGGAAGGGGGGGACGTCCCCCAATCCAACAACGTTGGAAAGCATAGGAAAACACACACGGTTATACGGCAGCGACAACTTCATGTGGCCTTTGAGAGGGGTTCGCTCTCCGCCCCTCTCCCCCCCTCCTCATAGTGGTGGTGATGGTGGTGTTGCTGTTGCTGCCGGTGTTGCCGTTGCACCACAGGAACGATGTTCAATGAAGTGCTGATTTGGAGGCTGCCACTGCTGCCGCCCCTCTTACCTCTTCGTACAACAACTGCCGCAACCGAACCAACCGTCTCAACGGACTTCACTCATGGGGAAGCCCCCGCCACTCGGTACCCGTCGGGGAACCCTTCGGCGGCGGCGTTTACGCCGTACTATGATGGTGATGCCGTACGGCATTGGCCGTACAACGTACCTGCCGATGGCATCCGGTTAGCGCATCTCGCGGGACGGTATGCGGCGTTGGAGGGGAGGCTGCAGCAGCTGGAGGAGCGAGCAGCAGCAGTAGCAGCAGCAGCAGCGGTGGCGCCGCCAGCCCTGGGTACGAGCGGTCGTCCGACTCACGACGCAACTGCTGACGGCCTTCGCCCTCGTCCAAGGCTGCAGCTACAGCCCCAGCCCTATCCAGCCGGCGTACAGCAGGGCAGCAGCAGTAGCTGCAGCGACACGTCGTGGGGTCCGCGAGGGGGAAGGGGGACGGGGAGGGTCGTATCCGGACAGCAGCTACAGCAGCAGCAGGACCTACAACAGCAGCAGCGGCTACAGCAGGAGCACCTACAGCAGCAGCACCAGCTACAGCAGGAGCACCTACAGCAGCAGCACCAGCTACAGCAGGAGCACCTACAGCAGCAGCAGCTACGGCAGCAGCAGCTACAGCAGCAGCAGTACCTACAGCAGCAGCAGCGGCTACAGCAGCAGCACCTACAGCAGCAGCAGTACCTACAGCAGCAGCAGCAGCTACAGCAGGAGCACCTACAGCAGCAGCAGCAGCTACAGCAGGAGCACCTACAGCAGCAGCAGCGGCTACAGCAGCAGCACCTACAGCAGCAGCAGTACCTACAGCAGCAGCAGCAGCTACAGCAGGAGCACCTACAGCAGAAGCACCAGCTACAGCAGAAGCACCTACAGCAGCAGCACCAGCTACAGCAGCAGCACCAGCTACAGCAGGAGCACCTACAGCAGCAGCAGCAGGGGGGCCAGTTGTCTGGACCGCTGCATGTGGAGTGTCGGCCTGTGTATGTGTTGCGAGGACATGAGGGGTCCGTGCTCCACGTGACGTGGTTGGGCGGGGAGGGGGGCGGCGGTGGAGGTGGAGGTGGTGGTGGCGGTGGCGGTGGGTGTATGCTGGTCACTGCTTCCGATGACCGGTCCGCCCGCTTGTGGGTGTTGCCTGATTTGGCTTCCCAGAGGGCTGGAGGGGGGATGAGGTGAGTGAGCTTGCGGGGGAGAGCGGGGAAGGGGGAAAAGGGGGGAGGGGACACACACACGGAGGTAAGTACATACATACATACATACGTACATACATACATACATACACACATACATACATACATATATGCAGTGACGCACACAAAAGTTCCTTTAACTTTGTTGGTCGCGATGGCGCCACGTGGCCAGCATGAGTACGGCATGCGTGTACGGTATCCTAACCACCTTGTTGCTGTGTGCCACTACCAAGAACACGAAACACATACACACAGACATACATGGCGATTCCGCGGTTTTCCCCCTTCCCCCGCAGCTCGCAGGCGGCGGCGGTAGTGGTGGCGCCCTGCCGTACCTTTTGGGGCCACACGGCCAGAGTGTGGTGCTGTACGGCAGTGGAGTACGACGCGTTGATGCCGCCCGCTGCAGGGCCCAACCCCTCCCCCTCCTCCCCTTTCCCCTCCTCACTGGTAATAGTCAGCTGCTCTGAGGACTGTACGGCACGGATGTGGCACGTGGTGACGGGGAAATGTCTGGGGGTGCTGCAGGTGCGTGTGTGTATGTGTGTGTGTGTGCGTGTATGGGTTGGGGGATGAGGAAAGGGGTGAGGTGTGTATGTGTGTGTTTTGGCGGGTTTCGTTCGGGGGGTTTCGGGCCGGAGCGAGCCTCCGTGTCGGGTGAAAGGGAAATTTTCTCATACATACATACATACATACATACATACATACATACATACATGTACACCTCTTCTCGTCCTTGTTCCCCGTCTTCCCCATCGTCGTACACTTGTACCTCCGGCACCCTCAGGGTCATCGTGGCCGGGGGATATGGCGGTGTGCGCTACTGCCCGGGGCCGGCAGCGCTACTGCTGCTGGCAGTAGCGGTGGTGGTGGCAGTAGCGGCGGTGGTGGTATTATTGTGAGCGCAGATGAAGGGAGGTGGAGGGGGGGCGTGTGTATTGGCGGCGTGTTGGCCACGGCCGGAGCGGACAGCTCCATTCGGTTATGGTCGTTGAGGGAGTGGTTGCCGACGTCAGCAGTGGCAACGGTGCAACCGCCGTCGTTGACCGGTGAGCCGGGGTGGAGGAAAGGGGAAAGGGCAGTGAACACACGAACACAGACTTGGGGGAAAAGAACGGTTATTGGCGGGTGAGGCCAGCAAACACTACCACCACCACTAGCCCGGCCCGAACCCCCAACCCACCTCTTTTGTGTGGGTGGGTGGATGGGAAAAGAACCTTGCGATGTTTTTGAAAACCATTGGGCGCTTTTTTCCCGCCAAAATGTTGTATGTGTGCTTCTCACGCGTCCCTCTGTCCTCATGTCTCTTCAATTACACAGCAACAACAACAACAGCGGCGGCGGCGGCGGCAGCAGCGGGGGGTAAAGAAACAGGACACGGCTACCCGGGCGGCGGAGGCTGTAGCCATAGCGATGATGTCGGAGGCGGTGACGGCGGCGGCCGCGGTGAAAATATGTCCGCCGCCGCCGCCGCCCCCACCGCCTTCCCTTCCGCAGCCGAGGCGTACGGCACAGTTTGCGGTGGACTGTTGGAGCGGTTTGTGAGGTGCGGCGTGTGGGCGGGGAGTCCAGGGAGGGGGGAGGCGCTGAGAGGCGAGGGGCCTTATGCGGGTTTCCGGGGAACCGCCATGTGTGATATCGCCCACTCACTATAGCTATAAACTTGACACGAGCCCTAAACCCTAAAACCCAATAAAACCTCTAAAACCACTAAAACCATTAAAACCACTAAAACCGCCCCCCATTACCCGCGCCCCAGGTTTAAGCCTCCGGCAGCAGCTTCCCCGTCTTCAACGTCATCGTTTGCCCCCCCCTCACCTGACGGCCCCCGCTCTCTCGCGCTGACGGCGGGGGGTCAGATGCTGCTGGCGGGAACCTATGGGGGGGCGCTGTACGGCACGACGGAGGACCTCCTACCGGTCTTTCGCAACCGCAGCGGTAGCAGCTACATCTGCCGCCGCCAGCGCCGCAATCACGATGTCCAGAAGAATGGTGAGGAAGAGGGGCCTTCGGAGCTTCAGCAGCCGCAACAAAAGCAACAGCGTGAGGAGGATTCCAGCGGGTGGGTACGACTGTACGACAACCCGTCGCAGGGTCCATGCACTTGCTTGGAGGTGTGTACGATAGGAGGCGACGGCGGTGGCGGAGGGGGATGGTGTGATGATGATGGTGGAGGGGGAACAGCAGCGTCTGGCAGCGGCGGTGGCGGCGCCGTGACGTGTCGTACAGGTTTCTCTGACCTTTTAGCGGTTGGTCACAACAGCGGCCTCGTCTCCGTGGTGCATATACACGTACGGCAGCAGCTGCAGCGGCGCAATTCCCAGAAGTACCAGCACAACCACCGCCACCAGTACATTCAGTTGGCGGTTGGCGCCGTCGGCAATGACGCTGGCACTGCTGCTGACGTCACTGCTGCTTCTGCTGCTGCCAGTGGTGACGTCAGCGGGTTCCGTCACGCCGTCCAAGACCCGTCTCCGAGCGGTGAGGACGGCGGCGACGCCGGCGGCGGCGGCGACGCCGGTGGTTTTATGAGCGACGTGTTGTGCAGCTGGCGCGTGACGGATGCGGGCGCCGTCATCGCGGTCTGGTGGGTGGCGGCGCTGGGCCGCGGCGTGCTGCTGACGGCGGCCGGCGACAGCCCCGTCATTAGACTTTGGCGCCTGCCGCCGCCGCCGCCAGCTGCCGCCGCCACGTCCTCCTCTTTCGGCGGAGGTAATGTTTCGTCGGAACGTCGTTCTGCCGCCGCGGTGGCGGCGACAGCGGTGGCGGACGTGATGGAGTCATCGGCTGCGGGGAACGGCATGGCGGCGGCACCGCCGACGCCGCCTCCGGCGGCGGCGACGCTGACCGCTGTACTGCACTCGCCCCTGCGGGGCCGCCTGCTTGTGGCGGACGTGTGTCCGACTCACAGAGTGTTTCTCGCCGGCGACCAGTACGGCAACCTGCTGGCGTTCTGGGCGCCGCCAGACGCTTGGGCGGCGCTGACGGCGCCGGCGAGCGCGGCGGCCTGCGCCGCCACCGCCGACGCCGAGCCGCTGCAGCAACTCGACCTGCCGTGCGTGGCAGTGTTCCGGGCAGCACTGGGCCCCGGCGCCGTCAGCTGGGTACGGCTAGTCCAGCCTGCCGTATTTCTTGCGGCGGGGCGGGACGGCGTGCTGGCCAGGTTTCGATGCAGCGACTATGCGGCAGGGGCGGCGGCGGCGGCGGCGGGAAGCATCGCCGCCAAAGACAGCGACGAGGGCGAGTTGGGAACTGGGGAAAAGCGCAGTGGCTTTGGCGGCGGCGGGGTCGGCGGCATCAAATTTCCAGGCCAATGTCCTGTACGACTGGAGTGTCTGGGTACGCAAAGCCGTACCGGCGTCGCCTCCATTGAGCTAGCGATCGAATGGCCGCCGCCGCCGCCGCGCCCGCCTCAGTCCCCGGGTACGAACCTTCCTGAAGCCGCCTTGACGGATCCCAGCCGACAACGTTCGGCTGCAGCACTTTCAGGCAAGGGCCTTGGCGACCGCGGTGCAGATGGCGGCGGCGACGGCGGCGGCGGCTTGTTGGTGGCCGGGTTCCATGGGTCCGATTTCCTCGCTGTGGCGCTGGCCCCGGACGCCGCGGAGCTCATGCGGGTCCCAGCAGCTGGCGGCTGGCGTCGTACACATGCGCTGCACGTGGGCGCCGCCGATGGCGGCGGCGACGTC